GCTGTAGGGGGCCCACGTCTCCAGAGGGAGGGTTAAACTGGCGCTCTGACTCCTGCTCCTTTCTCAGCGCAGGGCCCGGGGAGACAGGCCAGGAGGACACAGCTGGGGGAGTCTGAGAGGCTGTGTCACTGAGCAGAGGAGAGGAGCCACACTGATACACACACACACTGATACACACACACTGACACCTCACACTGATACACACACACACACTGATACACACACACTGACACCTCACACTGATACACACACACACTGATACACACACACTGACACCTCACACTGATACACACACACACACACACTGATACACACACACTGACACCTCACACTGATACACACACACACACACTGATACACACACACTGACACCTCACACTGACACCTCACACTGATACACACACACAGACACTGATACACACACACACTGATACACACATTCACACTGACACACACACTCACACTTACACACACTGACACACGCTCAAACAAATGCTGACACACACGCACTGACGTGCTAGCACACTGATATGCACACTCTCACACACACTAACACACTGTCGCACACACTAACACACAGACACACTCTCACACACCCTAACATACACTGACAATGAACCACACACTGTCACACACTGAGAAACACACTCATACTCACACACAAACTGAGATACACTCCCACACATAAAGACACAGGCTGATGTGCACACAGACTCGTGACCCAGTGTCTCTTATCAAGCGCTGGACAGAGGGGCTCAGGCAGGGTGAGACAGCGATAGGGAGTAGGAGCGCCGAGCTCACATACACACAGACACCCTGACGCACCGAGCAGGATCACAGGACTGGGGAGCTGGGCACTGGGTCAGTGTGGCTTTTGGGCTGTGTGCCCTTCACAGCTCTGTGCTGGAGCCAATCAGTGTAGGTCTGGTGCTGTGTGTCCTTCAGAACTCTGTGCTGGAGCTGGGCAGTGTGGGTTTGGAGCTCTGTGTCCTTCAGAGCTCTGTGGGTTTGGAGCTGTGTGTCCTTCAGAGCTCTGTGCTGGAGCTGGGCAGTGTGAGTAAATTTGTTATTTTGGGTAGAATGTTTGTCTAGTCCCAGAGTATTTGTCGCAGTGCAGTAGGAAGTGTGTGTATGTTTCTGTTTCTCCCCACTGGCAGTGGGAGCAAAGCCTGTCCTCTTTGGGCAGCCGGGTCTGCCTGTGTCCAGTGTCTCTGGCCAGGCTGTGGTCACTGAGCCTGTCCTCTCTGGACAGCCAGGTCAGTCTGTGTCCAGTGTCTCTGGCCAGGCTGTGGTCACTGAGCCTGTCCTCTCTGGACAGCCAGGTCTGTCTGTGTCCAGTGTCTCTGGCTTCTGTAACAGTCCAGTGTTTGGTGTGTGTCCCAGTGGGGGACGCAGTGCTGGTCAGTGTGTGTGTGTTTGTGTGTGTGTCCCAGTGGGAGAGGCAGTGCTGTGTGTGTTGTGCTGTGGTGTGTGTGTGTGTGCCGGGTGTTGCTGTCGGTGAGCTTCAGGACCAGCTGGCTGAGGGCTCTTCTCTGGGCTCAGCTCTGGCTCAGCAGGGTCTTGTGGTGCTGGGAGCTCTGCTCACTGGTTCTCAGGGGTGACCGGGGCTGTAGTGCTCTCTGCTGCATGTTGATTAGTAATTATTATTCTGTCTGTCCTTCTTTCTGACAGACCACAGTTTCCTGAAACTCAGGAAAAAGCCGTGTGCAGAGCGAGGTCTACAGCTTCCGGCAGAGAGAGAGAGAGAGAGAGAAAGAGACAGAGAGAGAGACACACACACAGAGAAACAAGGGAGACAAGGAGAGAGACAGAGAGACCTCACCTCAGTGACCACAGCCTGACCAGAGGAGTGAGAGAGAGGTGTGAGGAGTGAGAGAGAAGGGTGAGAGAGGGGTGAGAGAGAGATAAAAAGGCAGATGAGAGAGAGAGTAGAGTTGCTTTGTTGTAAATGTCTGTAACATGTCTGTAGATTTTATTTTTATTTTTGGGTTTGTTTCATGTTAATTTCATTATTTCTTTGTGCTGTGTCAACACTGACAGTACCCATCGGTCACGCTAATAAAGCCCCTTGAATTGAACTGAGCTGAGTAACGAGGGGTCTCTGAGCACGAGCGCAGCCCCCCCACTCTCCTCCCGTCACCACGGCAACCAAGGGGCTCGGCGCGAGAGAGGGAGAGAGAGGTACCCAGCCCCGATCACGTGACCTCGCCAGCCTCCCTCGAGGGCACATCACCGTCGCTTCTTGCGTTTTTTCAAAAAAAGAGGAGAGAAAGCGACATCCCGCAGCCCCGCCGAGAGCCCCGGCCAGCCGTCCGGCGCCTGCGTGACCCGCACACGCACACGAACACGCACGACAGCGCGCATCCGTGGGCTCCGTCCCGGACAAAGGGGGCAGAGGCGCGCTGTCGCGAGCGGATATACCCCGAGAGACGGACTGCAGCAGGCCGGGCCAGCAGCTCTGTCAGGACCGCGCAGGTACCGTCGGTCCCGCTCCGCCGGCGGCCCGGCCCGGTGGAGGGCAGGAGCGGTTCTCCGGTCCGCCGCCGATCCGGTTCCGCCCCGCTGCGCCGTGGGTCTGCAGCCCGGGGCTCCGAGGGCGGGCGCAGCCGAGCGTCTGCAGGGCTACCGACCCACGCCAGGTCCCGAACACGCCTGCGGTTCCTGCGATCCGGCACCGCGCTCGCGCACCGCTCGGGTGCGAACCCGGCGATTCGGCCGCTGTTCGGAACCGGGGGGTGGGGCGGGTCGGTGCGGTTCTGTGCGTCTAGTGTCGGCGATAAGCGCCCACAACGCGAGGCGCATCTGAGGCTGTTAGCTGTGTGTGTCTGTGATTATAACTGTGTGAGTGCGATTGTGATTATAACTGTGTGCGTGCGATTGTGATTATAACTGTGTGAGTGCGATTTTGTGTGTGTGTGTGAATGTAATTATAACTGTGTGAGTGCAATTGTTTGTGTGCGTGAATGTGATTATAAATGTGTGAGTGCAATTGTGTGTGAGTGTGTGAATGTGATTATAATTGTGTGAGTGTGTGTGTGATCGTGCGTTAGTATTTGTGTTTGTGTGGTTGTGTGTGCGTGTATATGTGAGTTGGTGTAGGCGTGTGAGTGTGTAATTGTGAGTGTGATTGTAATTCTGTGAGTGTGACTGTGAGTGTTAGTATACGTGAGTGCTTGTGATTGTGTGTGTATATGTGAGCTGGTGTAGGGTGTGTCAGAGTGAGTGTGATTGTGCATGTGAATATACAATGTGTGTGAGCATTGAGACTGTCAGGTAGTGTCAGTGGGTGTGGCAGTCAGTGGGTGTGGCAGCGTGTTTGGGGGCGTGTCTGGGGTGTATGGGAGGGGCTTGTCTACGAGGGGCGTGCCCAGGGGGAGGGGCATGTCTGGTGTGTGTGTGTGTGTGTGGTTGAGGGGCGTGTCTACGAGGGGCGTGTCTGGGGGAGGGGGCGTGTCTGCGAGGAGCGTGTCAGCAGTCTGTATTAACGCCCCTCCACACCGTGTCTGTCCTCAGGGTGTTCAGGGATGTCTGAGGTGGTTCCCCCTGAGGTCCGGCCCAAACCGGCCGTCCCAGTCAAGCCCTCCGGCGTGGGGGTGGCGGGGCTATCACAGGTGCCAGGGGGGTCTTCGCTGGGGTCGCTGGGGTCGCTGGGCTCAGGGGGGTCAGCGCTCCTGGGGTACGTGGGCATCGACACCATCATTGAGCAGATGAGGAGGAAGACCATGAAGACAGGGTTCGACTTCAACATCATGGTCGTCGGTGAGACTGACCGTCTCTCTCGCTCCTCTGTTTCCCCAGTGTTTCTCTTGTCTACTAACTGTGGCTACAGCCTATCTGTCTCTCTCAGCAGCCCGTCTCTCTCACTGTGTCTATATCTTGTCTCTCTATCCCTGTGTCTGTATCCTGTCTGTCTCTCTCGCTGTGTCAGTACTCTATCTCTCTCGCTGTATCAGTACCCTGTCTCTCTCTCACTGTGTCTCTGTCCTGTCTCTCTCTCACTGTGTCTGTGACCTGTCTCTCTCTCAGGGCACAGCGGCCTGGGGAAGTCCACTCTGGTCAACACGCTGTGTCTGTGACCTGTCTCTCTCTC